ATATAAAGCGATGAAAAATAAACGATTTAAAAAAAATCATTTTTTGATACTATGAACATTCTACGAAATTAAAACTTTTTAAGTAGAGACCATACAAGATAGATATGTACATAAACTTATGAAATCTTGGTATATAGATTACATTATACGATCGTGATATAGAGGTTGGTTGAAACGCACATGTATTTTGAAAATAAATTAGTAATATATAATTTTTTAACGAGTTACATGATAGGTATCGTTACATAAATTTATTGTTGCAAGAAAAATACATTAAATTGGAATATAAAACTATTAAAAGAATTAGAAATGTCACTCCATTTGATTATAACCTTATTTGCGATTTTCAAGGTTGCATTTATTTTAGATCTCATACATATGCATACATGCAGATACCGTCATTCATACTTAAATATGTACGAAGTTTCCAGATTTTTAACGCTCCTTATAAGTATATTGACTCAACTTACTCTATAAATGATGAACGAAAATAATAACTTGGAAATAACATCAAGAAAATAATAATAATATTTTATGCATATTTTAAAACTTGTCATAACTAATTTTAAACGTATACTTTGTAGGTAGATTAAATCACAGAGATGTCTCAACCTTGGATATCTGATCTCATTGGTGTCCTGAAAGGAGCTAGGGCGGTAACTAATGCCATTATAAAACATCAAGAAGATGCAGTTAAACGTACAGTACAAACATCGAGTTTGAAAACTGCTGCAGAAAAATGTACAACAGAGTGTATAAAAAAATTCAAAAACATAGAACCAAGTAAGGTTCCTGTAAGTTTCTGCTACTTATTTTAATTTAAAAATATAAAACTAATCTCAAAAGAAATTATTACATTAATCCTTAGCAATTAATAATTGTGTAAAGTGTTAACTTCTTAAGTAAAAAATGAAGTTTTTGTTTATTGTACTTTTTTATATAGGAACAAGTAGCAGGGGAGCTCAAAGAAGTGGTTGAACGATTAAATGTTGTTGAAAAAGGTTTAATGGAATTTGTTAAAATAAAATCTAACAAAATGATCGGTGCGTCTTCAGATCCCTATGATTCCACACCAATCCAAAAAACTAAGCTATATGCTTACAATATTGCAAAAGATCCTAAAGAAGTATCAATTGAGCCTGACATAATAAACGAGAAGCAAAATATTACGTCTGCAAGTACAACTAATACACAAAAGAAACAAGATAGACCTACAATAAGAAAATATACAACAGTAAAGGAAAAAATAGAAACAATGACTAAGTTAGAGAACAAGATACCCATGATTGAGCTTTCAGATAAAGATAAAGAAATTTTAAGAAGATTGGAATTGGAACATGAAAAGAATAAAACATATGATACTCCAAAAGAAAATACTATAAAAGAAATTGATTCTGAAATAAAACAAGAATCTCTGAAGGTAGTTCCAGAGAAACCACAAGTTAGACCATCTGTGAAACCAAAGCAAACTGTAGGTTTCTATCTTACATAATATTTATATATCAAATTGACATTGATAAATCAATTTTTATGCTGTAGCTTTCACCTAATGCAAAAGCTCAGAAAGTTCCATCTACTAGATTCCAGAGAATGATGAGCTTTGGTACATTAGGAATTGGTCTTGGTGTTGGTACAGTTGCAGAATACACACGTAGAACACTTGGTTTAAAAACACAAAGCCTTGGTGAGACATTTGATAATATGTTTCTTACAAAGGCAAATGCTGAAAGAATAGTTTCAACTTTATGTAAAGTAAGAGGTAAATATTGGTAATACAATTACTGCAATTTTTTGGTGATGAAAGAGTTTATATTTTGTATGGGCCAACAACAGGTGCAGCATTAAAGATAGGACAAATTTTAAGCATTCAAGATGAAACCATTATAAGTCCCGAATTACAGAAGATTTTTGAAAGAGTTAGACAGAGTGCTGACTTCATGCCAGCATGGCAAGTTGAGGTATTTCATTTGCGCAAATTACATTATTTAACATCAACTTTGATGTATGAATTTTCTGCTTTCAGAAAGTATTAGCTGCTGAACTTGGGCACGATTGGAGGAATAAATTAGCTACCTTTGAAGAGAAACCATTTGCTGCAGCATCTATTGGTACAATACTTTTGTTAATTGATAAATGATTTAAAAGAATGCTTCAGTTGCTAATGATATTGGATAATTCCAGGTCAGGTTCATCATGGTACTTTATTAAATGGTCAAGATGTAGCAATTAAAATTCAATATCCTGGTGTAGCTATGGGAATTCAAAGCGATGTTGAAAACTTAGTAGGCTTAATGAAGGTATTGCAGATAATATTCTATTTCCACTCTTTCACTTTTCACCAAAGTGATGATGAAAGGAAAAAATTTTATTGTAGGTTTGGAATATTTTTCCGAAAGGCATGTTCATAGACAATTTAGTAGAAGTTGCGAATCGAGAACTTGCATGGGAAGTAGATTATATACGCGAAGCAGAATGTACAAAAAGATACAAGAAACTCATGGAATCTTACAAGGATTATTGTGTTCCAGGAGTAATAGGTATAAATTTAGATGATTTTCTTAGGCACGAAATAATTGCCCACTTTCCTATTCAGATGGATTATCGACGAGTCAAGTTTTTACAACGGAAATGGTAGAAGGTATTCCAGTAGATAAGTGTGTCAGTTTGGATATGGAAACAAGAGAACATATTTGTAGACTGATAATGAGTTTATGCCTTAAAGAATTATTTGTCTTCCGATATATGCAAACAGATCCAAACTGGTCGAATTTCTTTTACAATACTTATACTAGACAGGTATGTAATATGATATTCTGTAAAAATCTATATAAGTAACTATTTTTATGTAATTTTCAGTTAGTTTTACTAGATTTTGGAGCCTGTAGAGAGTACGAAAAATTATTTATGGATAAATATATTAGAATAATTTATGCTGCCAGTGAAGGTGATCGTAATACAATTCTAAATTTATCTAGAGAAATGGGATTTCTTACTGGATATGAATCTAAAGTAATCATTTCTTAATATCTCTAATTCTGTTCACATTGAAACTTGTTAGCTCACATAAATTTTTGTTGCACTGATTTCAGATTATGGAAGAAGCTCATGTAGATGCAGTAATGGTTCTAGGACAAGTGTTTGATAAGAAACATAAATATTACGATTTTGGGGGACAAGATGTGACTAATCGGTAAAAATGACTAATCTCAATTATTTCTAATAGAAAATACTTAAAATAAACATGTTAATTTATTTCAGAATCCAATCATTGGTTCCAACCATTTTAGATAACAGACTTTGTCCTCCACCAGAAGAAATATATAGCTTGCATAGAAAATTATCAGGAATTTTCTTATTATGCGCCAAGTTACAAGTTAAAATAAATTGCCGTGATATGTTTCGTGAAGTGTATGATAATTACAAGTTTGGTTAACCTAATTACTGTGTAAATAACAATTCTACATTATAAATGAATTAAATATGTATATATAAACGTAGAAGTAAAAGCTGAGCTTTGTAATTAATGTTTTCTGTTATAACCTTGCTGTTAACATGACCTTTCTAAATTCTGATGTTTTCGTATTGTGCACTTTTATACTATCCTGTATAATAAAATTGTTTAAAAAATGTATTTAATAATGTATTATTATGTATATGATTATTAGTCGATATATTTCTAACAAAGAAACGGATCACGAAATTGCAGATACTATACACCAATCGCTTCCTTTTGACGTAAAATTTATCATAACTGAAAAAGTCATTATCGGAATTTTCATACGGCTACAATATTTCCAATATAGTTACTATTCTGGCCATGCCTTACCGTAGTATACATATATTGATAAGCAAAGAAATCTTAACCTCTTTATCAGCGTACGTGAATCATTAAATTATTTCTGATAGGTCCTGTCGTTAAAATCAACCGGAAAAAATGTCCAACAAATTTTTATATTTCGCGTATGGAAGTAACATGTTAACAAAAAGAATACACATTAATAATCCAACGGCAGAACGCAAAAACATTGGCCTTCTAAAGGTACCCAAAATGCAAGAATGTACACAAATTAAGTAATTATAATTTAATTCTGAATTATATCAGAATTTCAGATTGGACTTCTTAAGGCATTCGAGAAGATGGGGTGGATGTAGTGCAACAATTGTTCCAACAGAAAATTATAATGTGTGGGGTGTAATTTGGGAATTACATGAATGCAACATGGCCACATTAGACTGCCAAGAAGGTGTTGCAAATAAAGTATATTTTCCTCTAATGGTTGATGTCGAAACACCTGATGGTCAAATCTTAAACTGTAGAGTATACCAGCAGTGTGACAGTCCAGATGAACATGTAAAACTACGACTACTACCAAGTCATAGAAGACCTTCCCCATTATACATGTATGTTGCATTTATATGATTATGCAAGTTTTATGTAATCAATATGTATATTGTTTTCTTTCACTATAGAAAAACAATATTAGAAGGTGCAAAAGAAAATAAGATACCAGCTGAATATATCAAGTTTCTGGAAATTATACCACATAACAATTACTCTGGAAAATGTGAGGTTAAGTAAGAACAATTTCTCACTAATACTATTCATAACTCTATTTACATCATTCATATCGTTACATACACAGTATATTCACATTACTTACTCTAGAGTAGATTCAAGTTGTTGCAGCATTCTTTTCTAAAACAATATCTATTTCTGTATCGTAGCCTACCTTTGAATGAAAGTTAGTTCGTGCGATCGTTTTATCTTTCAAATGCCGTTTAATTTCTGGATCGTTTGTTACTACATCAAGGACTTCCTCAGCTGACATTTTATCCAATTGGTATTTGGGTACTCTGAACATTTTTATGCGTTTAGAGTTTATCTAATTGTAAAAAATGATGCATTTATATAGCTACTCTTATTGTACATGTAGTGTTTATATCACATAAATATTGTAGCAATGTTCTCGAAATAATTAATATAATAAATACGTGTAGTTGAACTTACCAACGTTGCTATCACCATGTTGTAATTCATATCGATTTCTGGCCAAGTTTGCTCCATTACATCTTTATCTAAGTTAACTTCGTTTTCGCTTATTAGATGATGTTTAACCGAGCAAAAGCCTGCCCATAATTCTGAGGCAAAGTGTGGTACTATTGGTGCAAGCATTATAATTTGGACAGCTAATGCACGTTCGAATTCACGACTTTTCTTCATACAATCCAAACATACCTTCCGTAAACTTAAAAATTGGAAACAAAAAAGAATAAGTGGTTGTCTATTGACTATGTCTTCAAAATAATTTGAAATAAGCACCTATTTGTAAGTCCTTGCATTCTTGATATCGCAACACTCAGTTGCTGAGATTCGGTCATGTTATATGTTACGGATTTTAAGAAATAATTTCGACTATCAAACATATATGCATCGTGCTGTTGAAATTTAGGATCGGTCGGTTTTGTTTGCAGTTCTTCCAGGCTGACATTGTTACGGTAATCCATAAAACTTTTCATGCTATCCCATAAACGATTTTGCCAGTTCATTATTCCGCGACAGGCTAAAATATAGAAATATATGTATAATATATTGTGGTACACTAAATACAAATGTTCTACACTTAATTATCTCCTGAACTATTTATTTACTATCATGACTCCAGTGTCTGCTTGAGGTTGGTGCTACATCCGCTAATATTAACAACCTGGTTACATCAATGCCGTATTCATTTAATAATTCAAGAGGATCAACGCCATTGTGCTTCGATTTAGACATTTTTTCCCAAGCAACAATTACAGGTTTATAGGTATTTTTTTCCACCGTTAGCTTGCCTTGCGTTTCTACTTCATTAGGTTTTAAATACTTTAGTGTATCCTTCTGTCGGTAAGTTTGACCCATTACCATGCCCTGAACAAGTAATTGCTTAAACGGTTCTGGACTTGGTATTAATCCTTCCGAATGTAAGAAATGGCTTATAAATCTGGCATAATATAAATGCAATACAGCTGCAAAAATAATATTTATAATTCAAAATCTTTTTTGTATTCTGAGTCACATGAAATTGCTTACCATGTTCTTTTCCACCAATGTACAGATCAACGGGAAATATAGTTTTTACTTTATCAACAGAAAACATTTCTTTAGTATTTTTTGGATCAATGTATCTCAAAAAATACCATGAACTATCGACAAAAGTATCCATTGTATCTGATTCTCTAATTGCTTGTTTACCACATTTCGGGCATGAAGTACTTAACCAGTCTTTAACATCCGATAAAGTAGACCTTTTATTCGAGAACGAAAATGTTGTTTTTGGTAAGACAACAGGAAGTTGATCGCGTGGCACTGGTTGAATGCCACACTTCGAGCAATGAATAATCGGTATTGGTGTGCCCCAATATCTTTGCCTAGATATTGGCCAATCTTGGAGTCTTGAACTAACTGGATACCCACCAATGTTCCATTTTTTAGCTTTGGATAGCACTTCCAATATTTTTTGCTGCTGTTGTTCATAACTTCTTATCGAATGTCGTAGAAACTCGATTCCAACTGCTTCAGAAAAGTGATAATCATCCATTGAAGCTGAAGGTATTCCAATATAAGTTTCTCTGAAAGGTTGAAATTTCACTTTATCTGTTACATATACTTGTAACTCTTCCCCATTGAATGGATTCAGTACTTTAGCATCCATGATTTGAATTCCCTCTTGTACTTCTGTACAATATTCGGGATAGTTTAATAAACTTTTCGGAGAGATTGCAATAAATTTCGCATATTCAATGAATTCTGGATTCTCTGTCCAGACATTTAATGTCTTTGGAAAATTTGGAATATTTGACATCAATTGCAATTCAAAACTAATGCCATTACATTTACCAATCCAGTTTTGCTGTATTTTTTTTACATCTCCCCATCCTTTTAATATTGGATCATTTAAACCCTCTAGCAGTTGTCTAATAAAAAATATATAATTAACATTACCATATTAAGTATTATAATGTATTATAGGAAATATATATTTATGGTCTTACTTAGCAAATGATGTAGTTCTAATAAACCATTGGTTTAATAATTTCTTTTCCACTTTAGCTCCAGATCTCCAAGAACAACCATTTTCATCAACTTGTTCTTCAGCTAACACAGTTTCATCAACAGGATCCCAATTGACAAATCCTTCTTTCTGATAAATTAAACCTCTTTCATATAGTTTCAAAAACAACTCCTGTGTCCATCTATAATATTCTGGATCACATGTTGTAAATTCTCTATCCCAATCAAATCCATAATTTAACAAGCTCAATTGATTTCGCATTTTAGTTATATTATCATATGTCCATTCAGTAGGATCTAATTGTTTTTCATATGCTGCATTCTCAGCAGGTAAACCAAACGCATCCCAACCCATTGGATGAAGAACATTGTATCCTAAGACACGTTGTAAGTTCAGTTAATCAATTAATTGAACTTTTAATGTAGAAATCTTACCTTTCATTTTATAAAAACGAGTAATGGCATCACTTATTGTATAAACTCTTACATGACCCATATGCAATAATCCAGAAGGATAAGGAAACATTGATAATACATAAAATCTTTTTTTTTCATTATTTGTTTCTTCATATTTAAATAAATTAATCTTATCCCTCCAATATGTCTCAATGTTTTTCCTGGTTACAGATGTAAGATGCTCAAACTGGAATAATTTAATACTTCTAATTATATTTATATGTACATTAAAAATTATTAACACTTTGAGTACCAAAAACTAACAGGCTTCTTAATTACTATTTTTAATCATCTTTTTGTTAAATATTTAAGTAATCATTAGTTATCGAGGATTCTTTCAGAAATATTAAATAACCGTCAATTGGTAAACTGTTAATATCAAATGTTGTACTTTCTTATAAAATGAAATTGATACCGTGAATGAATTAACGCCAGTGGATTTACATCGAGCAATGATATGTTTAAAACGTAGATAATTCTTAAAATATGGTACTAGATTTTGTCGAGATACATCTGCAAACATCATTATTAAGCTTCAATGCCTAATTATTTATAAAAATTCCGTTTCAATATATTTACATGTAACTAAAAACACACTATAATTGAACCATGGAAGCTGCCATATTGGATCACTACTCCAAACAACGTACATTCTGTACGTAATAATTTTTAATTAAAATTATTGTTATGATGAATTTTTATTTTAGAATAAATATTTTTATAAATTAACTTAGATCTAAAGGGAAGTAATATCTTATTTTATCTTATTTCTTCTAACGTCTCAAAAAAAATGCAACTTCCGTTTCGTTGAATTGATTCCTTTTCTGGTGTGCACCGTATAAACAACTTCGTGAGTAAAGTTTCAGGATTGAAATCAAATTAAATATTCCACATCTTAAATTATTACTTCACGTAACCATAAAAATACCAATACAGTTTGTGTTTTCGGCTGTGATTAAACAATATAATTGACATTATAGAGTGTATTAAGTATTGTAAGTTTTTGACATTAATTGAGAGGTTAAGTTCCAGTATGTTTTTTACCGAAGACAACAAAGTTGATATTTTTGAACATAAAACAAGATATAGAATGATTATCTTTATGCAAAGTAACATTAAACTTTGAAATATTTTATAAATAAAAAATCGAGTGATATGTTTGCAACTCATAGCAATAATATACTCCTAACCTATCATAATAATGAATGTATCATGATTTACATTATTAGACATTTAAATAACATTGAAAGTTTTAGAAATATATCCTGACGTATTTATATCCATTTTAGCTCAACCATGGGTAAGAGAAATAATATGATCCCTAATGGGCATTTCCATAAGGATTGGCAAAGGTTTGTGAAAACTTGGTTCAATCAGCCAGCTAGAAAATTTCGTCGTAAACAAAGTCGTGTGAAGAAAGCTCGTTCAGTTGCACCAAGGTAATAATCTGTCCTTAATGGTTTGAGTATATAGTGTATTTATAACTTATTTACTTATGATTTTAATTATTTGTGTAGACCTGTCAAGCTTTTGAGACCTATTGTTCATTGCCCAACATTCCGTTATCACACAAAAGTTAGGGCAGGCAAAGGTTTTACCTTAGCTGAAATTAAAGCAAGTGGTCTGAACAAACGATTTGCTAGGACCATTGGAATTGCAGTAGATCCTAGAAGACGAAATAAGTCGGTGGAATCTTTGCAAGCAAATGCTCAAAGATTGAAGGAGTATAAGTCCAAATTGATTCTTTTCCCATTAAACGAAAAGAAAGTAAGTATGGTTGTAAATAGTTGATGTCTCTAATGAAACAAATTAATATATACATTATCTGTATCATTAGCCAAAGAAGGGTGACGCAACTGAAGAAGAAATGAAAACAGCCACTCAAGTTAAGGGAGAAATTATGCCAATACGACATCAAGCACCAGCTAAGGCAAAGGCTCGCACAATTTCTGAAGAAGAGAAGAAGTTCTCTGCATATGTTACTTTGCGTAAAGCTAGAGCTGATGCTAGATTAGTTGGAGTTCGCGCAAAGCGTGTAAAAGAAGCTGCAGAAAATCCGGACGATGTAACAAAGGTTGCCAAGGACAAGAAGCCCAAGAAATAATCTTAACTATCGCATCTTTGTATAAATATAAAAAATAAATTCTCAATTGAGGAAAGCAATACCATCTATGCATATACTTTGTACTCATTTATTTGTTTCATCATCTTTTGAATCATTAAAAGAATCTGTCTATCAGTTTTTAATCATTTCCAATGCTTTATAGTAATTTACAATTTTTTAAACATATGTACATATTCAGATTTTCTACGTACTGCACACCAATCACATTGTTTGGTGGCTAGTTGCTTGACAATAGAAACTTTTCATATTTGTACATTGGTAACACTAGATCATGCTATTTCACGCCATTTTGTATTTAGATTTGAATTTCGAACGTTGTGACTTTGTGACAACAACGGTTTACGGCTCGTCATCTGTGACCATTAAAAGAAGGAAGATTGTAATATAATCCTTGTTATAATTGTTGTTAAATATAATTAAAGCAAAATGAAATCCTCGTAAGTCTCAAATTTAATACATAATTTATAAGAAAAAATTCTAATGAATTTTGTAAACGCTAATATAATTCCGTTGGTGTAAAGAGAAATTCGATTGTTGATGTTTTATGTTTTAATTAAACATATTCAGATGTTATATCTTTGCAAAACATAAAATTCTTTCATTTCGTGAATTCTACGGATATATATTGACAATGTTAATTATTATAGGCGTGTAAAACCACCGGGTTCTGCTCGGAAACCAATAAACCGACCGAAAGGCAACAATATGTTATCTAAGGATCCAGTGCAAGTTTACTGCCGTTTAAGGCCAATGCAGTATGCTACAGATGTATCATGTATGAAAGTTTTATCAGATACAACTATAGCTATCAATCCACCAGAATCAGCAATTAATTTTCGTAATTGTAGCAACAAAGAAATTCAAACAACATTCAGTTGTGTATTCACACCAGGTGCTACACAAAAGGAACTCTTTAATGTTGTGGCTCTCCCATTAGTTGAGAATGTTATTCGTGGTAGAAATAGTCTTCTGTTTACTTATGGTGTAACAGGAAGTGGTAAAACATACACAATGACTGGTGAACCACACGATGCTGGTATCATGCCACGTTGTCTTGATGTAATTTTTAATAGTATTGGTAACTATCAAACAAAAAAATTTGTTTTTAAACCAGATAAATTAAATGGTTTCGATATACAAAATGAAGCTGATGCAATGCTAGATAGACAAAGTGAGCTCCATGCAGGAATTATGTCTCATAGAAATGGAAAATCAAACAAAGTGTAAGTAGAATACGTAAAAAAAAAATACGTAAAAATATATAGTCAATTATAATGTCTTTACTCATATATGGAATTTTTTATTAGGAAGAAGGCTGAAAGTGATGGAGATAGTAATCCAATGATAGTTCGTGAAGTTGATGAATCACAGGTGGTATCAGTGGATCAAGACAATGCTTATGCAGTCTTTGTTACATATGTTGAAATATATAATAACAGTGTATATGATTTATTAGAGGATGACGATATTAGAGCCAAGTATGTTTATAAACTTAGAATACTTAAAAAAACTTAATGTATTTACCTATATATAGTGTGTTAATATCTTGAAACAATTTATAGGACATTACAGAGTAAAATAGTCAGAGAGGATGGAAACAAAAATATGTATGTACATGCTGTGACAGAAATTGAAGTAAAAAGTGCTGAAGAAGCATTTGAGGTCTTTAACCGTGGCCAAAGAAGAAGGAGAGTAGCTCATACTGCTCTTAATGCAGAATCAAGCAGGTCGCACAGTGTCTTCACTGTTCGTCTTGTACAAGTAAGATTCTTAATTCTTTTGTCTTCTATACTGTGAATATTAATAAATAATACAGGTAAATCTTTCTATAGGCACCATTAGATTGCGAAGGTGAGCAAGTTATACAAGACAAACGCGTAGTGTGTATTACACAACTATCTTTAGTAGATCTGGCTGGTAGTGAAAGAACAAATAGAACCAAGAATACAGGACAACGTTTAAGAGAAGCAGGTAATCTTCTTTCAAGTATATTTACTGCAGTTCCAAGACATTCCTTAAAAATGACTGACTATTGTCTTTCTTAGGTAATATTAATAATTCTTTGATGACTCTTCGATCGTGTCTGGAAATTTTAAGAGAAAATCAAATTCAAGGTACAAATAAAATTGTACCCTATAGAGATTCAAAGTTAACTCATTTGTTTAAGAATTACTTTGATGGAGAAGGACAAGTGAGGATGATTGTGTGTGTTAATCCAAGGGCGAATGATTTTGACGAAACAATTGTATGTAAAGAATTAATTATATGAAAATATAATTATGTAATTGTACTCTTACTTTTACGTTAATATATTTATAGCAAGTTATGAAGTTCGCGGAAATGACTCAAGAAGTTCAAGTAGCTAGACCAACAATTACTAAAATAGATCTTGGTTTTACTCCAGGAAGAAGACAGGCAAATAAGGTAAGGCATGAACTTTGAAAGAACATAAAGACATAAGTTTCACTTACAAAAAAATGGTCAAATAGTTATTTAAGGAGGCACGTGGTAAACTCGAGAAGGAAGGTCATCCTGAAGCTGCTGAGTTGGAAGTTGATATTGGTCTTGTATACAGGTATGTAGTTGTTCTCCAATTTATTCCAGTTTTGTTTCCTGGATGTCATTGATTATAAACAGACTTTATTACAGTTTGGGTGGTCCATTTCCCGAATTAGAAGTTACTTCTCCATGCAACGATCAAATAATTACTAATCTGATGCACTTTTTGGAACAGCGTATAAGCAAACGGAACCTATTACGTGCCGATCTACACAAAAAACGTAAACCTTTATTTTTTAATAGAACCTAAGTTCTAGATCCAATATTTCAATCATCATTTTCTACAGAGAACGACCTTAGAAAAACTTTAATGACAATGGAACAGGAGCACATAAATTTAAAAATTGAAAATGCAACTTTGAAAGCAGCTACTTTGCAACAGAAAAAGAAGGTGTCTGCATTGGAAGGTCATTTGTGTAAAAGTGAAGAACAAATAGATAGTTTGCTTCGAAAACTAAATCATGCGAATGATACGATCCGTAGTTTACAGCAAGAGGTAGATATGGAATGCATGTTAGTATCTGTTCTTCTTAATCTTAGTGCTTAATGTAATTTTAGTTAAAAGATCGAGACATGGCACTAAACCAACGATTAATAGATAAGCAGAGGGTAAAACAAAAGTATAACACCAAAATCCAAGTAGAAACTGATAAAATGAACAAGGAATTAGAAATAAAATTACGTCAGCAACGCGAACATTTACAGGTAATAAAGTAAAGTGTATGTTAACTGGAACCACATGCTTACTATTTTCTATCTTTCCAGAATCAAATGAAAGATAAAGAAAATAAATTGAGACTGGTGAAGCAGATTTTAGTCGATGACAATGGTATTAATTCTATACCCGTTACACCAAAAGCTACAGCTACCAATTTGGAGGCAAATGCAAGAACAACTGATGGTCGATCACGAAGGGTCAGCTTTCTTTACTTCTTTCCTTTTTTCTTAAGAACCTAGATTGAAAAAACTTGTTTGCAGGATAAGGTAACTGTTTCAAATCCGAGGCATAGACGTTCACAAAGTGCTGATAGATGGGTTGATCATAGACCAGGAGCACTGGTTCCTTTGGGAACAGTTCTGCAACCATTAATGCGAAGGAGACGCAGCGTTTCAAGACTTGCAGATCCAAAGGAGATTACCGATGGAGCATCGCGATACTGTCTCGTTGCGCAAGAACACGATACGGATGGCGAACTTGAAACCAAACTGTATAAGGTGATTAATTTTTAAATTCATTAGTTACAATAAGATAATCGAACATACGATAATGTATTAAATTATGTTAGGGAGACATATTACCAACTAGCGGAGGTGGAGCGCAAGTGGTATTTAATGACATGGAATGCTTAAAGCAACTGTCGCCAAAAGCGAGAAAACGCAGTGGTCCCGCAGATTTAGATATAAATGAAGTAGGCACGCCAAATCATTCCTCCACGCTTGTGGAGACTCACTGTAAAAGGCCACGAGTGATTGATTAATCAATCTAGAAATAATATTTAATACTACGAAATTCAAAGTTTTCTGCATCATGGTAGTAATTTAATAATTTATTAAATAATACAAATCATCAAACAAAACAACAATATATAAGAAGGTATATAATATTTCGCATATAATACTGTACAAGTAAAAACTGATTATGGATATGCCGATATTTCTTTTTATATATATTTTTATATAAATTTTAAACTACTTCTTTTGTGGTTTGTAAATAATAAACATAGATCGAATTAACATCGTAATTAATTTAAATTGTAGCAATTACATGAAAAAATGAGTTGTTCTTGACGATTTATTAACAAAAATTTGTCTTGCGGTATGTAATATTGAAATATTTTAAATAACTTAAACTAAAATTTTGAATATGCTATTAAAATCTTTTTATGAAACATTTAAATATAAACATGCTGCACACTCTTACGTGCATGTTTGTAAACGTAATCTAAGTAACCCTTACAAGTTTTAGGAAGATTTTTAGTGTTTTTGCGTTCTCAAACGTTGCCTTCTGAGTTGATTATCTAAGTGCGCTAATTGTTGAAGGAAGCCATTGTTGGGTTCTATGTAGCGATTTTTACGGACTGTTGTAATAGCATCAACAGCCAGCATTTCTTTCTTTATCATTAGATATGCTAAGACACAAGTTGCACTTCGAGACATTCCTACCATGCAATGCACGAAGGCTTTGCCTGTGAAAATATTGTAGAATGTTAGATGATGCATTTCTGATTATTTATACATATAAAGATAAGTATAGGGATTACCTCCTGTAGAAATAGCTTCATCAATGAAGTCTGCAGCAGTATAAAAGTATTTACTAATATCTGTAGTGAATAAATCTGCGAGAGGTAAACCAATATACTTAATTGTTATATCTTTATAATAATTTGCACCTGTGTTCACAAATCCAAATCTGTTTCCTTCTGCACAATTAAGTAAATGTGTTATACCCAACATTTCAAGATACTTTTTGTTCTTTGCTGTCTCTCTGTAAAATATTAAATATAAATCATCATTTGTAAGTAGTCATTCAAAGTATGACAGAAATAACATTAGAAATAACATAAAATATTTACGCATCACCAATGTATATCCCTGGATATACTTCATCACAATCAAGGATCTGTTGAAGACGGCAATACTCAGGATCATCTTTAATAGGATCAAGACCTGGATTAGGTTTAGTCTCAGGTCGTGTTTTACGTAAAGTTTTTAGTAGCAGATTTCGGGTGGTTTCACCTCCAGGTAACTCCTCCTGAAAGTCCTGGCAACAAGAATATTGTTAGATAATACAATAGTATTATTTTAGTGCATATTTTATATAATAATATAAATATTAAGCAATATGTTTATATATTTGAAAGATTACCCGATCCCTGTCTCTCCATGTGCTATGCATCTTGTATAGCGAAAGAGCTTAAAAACAACCCAGAAAAGAGGACAGCATTGTTGGTCGCGCATATTTATTTTTAAATGTTCTTACGAAATGTTACATCCTCGAAACACGTTATCTTGTATCGCGAGACGTAAAAAAATGCTCACGAAACAGTAGTAATTTTCGACGTTTAAAGTTTCGATAATACTATTTATAATATAAACTTACATTTTCATGTTTACTCTCCATCGATAGAGGTTATTTACGGAATATTTGCAAATTTAATTAGACAGAGTAATTGCAAACAATTGTATGAGATGTTTATACTTGTAGCAAGTAGAAATCAGATTATGACGCATCCATTATATCATAAGTATCTGTTAATTCAAATGCACTTCGTTTATATATACATACATATCAATCGAGTTTGTCATACACATAGATAGGATTCTGATTCAGGTCAATTGAAATACATTCGCACATGTGATGTTTTATTATGTACATATGTACATATCATGGAGCATTCTCATGCATATATAGAAATGTAAAATTTTAGCAGCAATCATGGACCTAAGTGTAACTCCTTTTATTATTCTAAAAATATACATGTCAAGAATCTGTTAATAATCTTTAAATGCAGTCTTTATCAATAAAATAAGTAAAATTTAAAGATAAGATTCTCAAAGGAGATAATTCTTCCTTACTGAAGAAGTTTTAATTACTTTCTAATCAAATATCTTCAGTTTTATCATTAATTTTATATTGTGATTATAGAAAATCGGTTATTTCGGGGTCATACATATCGTGTATCAGGCAATACAATTTCTTATGCATACAATACATACATAATTCGATGAAATTCAAAAGTTTGAAAGTGATTCGGCGATGAGTCATGACGTATACGTCGATGCCAAAAAGAATATGGCGACGATATACGGTTGATGTGCAATCTTCTGTTGATTCTGTTCAAGGTGAATTCTGTTCATCGTGTTCATGAGTGTGGTTACAATAAAAATTTGATGTACAATCCTCTGGAACAATGAGTTTCTTTAGCAAAGTATTCGGTGGCAAAAAGGAGCCGGCTCCTTTATCAACGGCCGAGGCGATACAAAAGTTACGCGAGACAGAGGATATGTTGGTAAAGAAACAAGTCTTTCTTGAAACGAAAATAAATCTCGAAATTCAAATCGCCAAGAAAAATGGAACAAAAAACAAGAGAGGTACCCAAGAATGACATGTCTTTTCGTCTAATTATCATTGTTTATGGATAATTTTCAATGACTAAGATCGTTAGGTTTACTGTCATTATGACGTTTCTCTATTATATAGGGTGAACGTCAGAATTCAATATCTTTTTATGTATATTTATGTACATTGGAAGAACTGTTACAATATTATTTATTTAAATAAAAATTCTATTTTCTATAGCTATTGTAGATGTAAAATGTTTTTAAATGACACTGACATGTTGCAGCTGCGATACAAGCTCTCAAAAGAAAGAAACGTTATGAAAAACAGTTACAACAAATTGATGGCACGTTATCTACCATTGAAATGCAAAGAGAGGCACTTGAAAGTGCGAACACAAATACAGCTGTACTGACAACTATGAAAAATGCGGCAGATGCATTAAAATCTGTTCATCAGCACATGTAAGAAATGGGATATTACCAACACCTGAATGATTTTATAATAATTTTTTTCTTTGAACCAAAATTTGGAAATACTGATCTACAGTATTCACTTTAATCTGTATAATTTGTTATATTTTCTTTAGGGATGTTGATCAAGTCCATGACATGATGGATGATATAGCTGAACAGCAAGATGTAGCAAGAGAAATTTCTGATGCAATATCTAATCCTGTAGCATTTGGTCAGGACATAGATGAAGATGAACTAGAAAAAGAATTAGAAGAACTTGAACAAGAACAACTTGATAAAGAATTGCTTGGTATTGAGCCTACTGATGAACTCCCAAATGTCCCAGCTACTGCTATTCCAACTGCACCAGCCCGCACAAGTAATACAGCTAATTTGTTATTTACTGTGTTCTTTACTGTAAATTTGTAATTATATATTTTATTATTTAGAAGCCAAACCAGAAGAAGACGAAGACTTAAAAGAATTGGAAGCATGGGCATCGTAAGGTGGTATCAAAATGCTTGTAAAAATAAATTACATAAGGAATTACTAGTTAAAACAAAGAAAACATTGCTGAAGAGTTCAACAATGCTGAAATGATCTTTACTTACAAGATTTTATATCTTTTAATGATTACAGACTTATTACAGCAATTTATCCTGTGCACAGTTTAAAAATTAATCAAAATACTAATGAAGCTTTGTTAAATGACGTTGCTTTCTATCCGTAAATGAATATTAGTATAAATATCTAAATTTATATATGAAAAAGCTTCATAAATAATAATAGACAAATATCCTATGTGTATATAAACTAGACAACATATTTTGCTATATACAACTTTGCTGTGTAAAAAGTTCGATAAACTTAAACTATATTGTTGCTTTTTGATTTTAAACATTATGTTAATATTATGTTCTACACTTTGTATAAATGTGTTTGCTATGAATACATTTCTTGAAATGTATATTAATTCTA